GAGCTCGTCGATGAACTGGCTCCGGGTCTCGGTGTTTTCCAGGAGCGTCAGGGCATCGGAGCCGCAGGCAACCCCCTCGGGCACTGAGGGACAAGCTGGGGGTGAGCAGGGCAGGGAAGCAGCAGGGAAGGGATGTCCATGGCTCGGACAGTCTGGCCGTAACTCCCCCACCACAGCCTGTCCCGCACAGGGTGCTCAGCACCACCCCACGGCACGGTGTAGTGGAGTCCCCAGCAGGACTTCGTGCCCAGCCAGGGCGCTCGGGGTCACTGCAGGGCAGGGAAGGGGGAATAAAGACAGGGTTGGGACCCCCCGCATCCCTTTGCGGCCGTGCTCACCCTCGATGCCAGCGTCCAGCACTGTGATCTGCACCTCCTCGCTTTCACCATCTCCCCAGTCAATGCCATCATCTTGCTGCAAAAACAAAAGGGTGTTCTGTGAGATGGGGAGGGGGGGGGGGGTCCAGGACACCCCCAGGTCCCTATCCCCAGCCCTGGAGCAGGGGCGGACCCCCAAGACCACACAGCCAGGGGTCACGCACCTGTGGACCGGGTTCTAACGTGATCCCCCAGTCAATCTCCTCGCCCTGGGCTCCCCCGTTGGCAGTGGCACCATCATCCGCCCTGGTGGGCTCCAGCGTGAAGTCTCCCCAGTCGATCTGCGGGGAGAAGGACAACAGACCCCCTGAAACCCCAGGGGCCAACAGCCTAACCCTAACCGGTGCGCGGCAGAGCCAGCTGGGGCTCTCCCCAGCACCACAGCTCGGCCCCGGCTGGCCAGGACGTACCGTGTCCTCCTTCGGCTGCTCTGGTACCTCCTCCACCTCCGGCCGCTCCACCCGCAGGGGCTGAAGTCCCGTCCTCCACTCGTAGACGGTGGGGTTCTTCCCCACGTGCCGCAGCAGGGGCACCACCAGCTCTGCAGAGCTGGCAGCCACCGCAGGAACATCAGTGCCAGGCACAGGGCAGGGACCCCCCAGCACCCCCCAATCCCACCAGGATCCCTCTGGGACAGCCCCAACCTGGGTGCAGCCGGGACCCCCTCACCAGCCCAACCAACTGTCCCCACACGGGGGGCAGAGGAGATGTGGGGGGTCTATCCCTGACGCCCCCATACCCACCTCTCGCACACGAACTCCACGCAGGCCTGGTACAGCTCGATGGCCTCAGAGAGCGCGCTGGCTCCTGCCCCGATCTCAGACAGCAGCGATGGAAGGTCCTTCACCAAGGCCAGCAGCTCCTGGCGCACGTTGTCACCCTGGGGACAGAGCAGGGACCCGTCAGGGCAGGGAGGCCGGTGGCCAAAGCACCCCCGGGGTGGCTTCACCCTCTGCTTGCAGAGCTAGACGTGGGCAGGAAGGGGACGGAGGGCTGTGGGGTCACCCTACACACCCCCCACCTCCTCCCACAGGTAAGGTGGCACTGTGGGGACACCATATGGGACATGTGGTCCCAGCTCGAGCCCTGCTGAGGCCAAACGCAGGCATCTGGGGGCTGCTTTGGGGAGGGAGGTGGCACAGCAGGACCCCCTCCCCAGCGGGGCTGGCTGCTGGGACTCACGGTGATGCCGTACTGCTTGCAGGAGGCGAAGAACCGCTCCCGCAGCTCAGCCGCCCCCAGCTGACACCCCTCCTCGCGGCGGGGCACGGCCT